CTCCCATGCTGGCTGGGGAATTCATGGGAGTTGAAGTCCACTCATCTTAAAGTGGCCAAGTTTGGACAACACTGTTCTAGATTCTTCCAGCCCAGGAGCCCAAAATGAAGGCTCTCCTTCCTTCCTTCCCCTCTTATTTCCAGCCACTCTCCCAGATCTTCAGTAAATGGCCCAGACCTTCAGAACAGACATAGAAGCAAAAGGGGTCTGCAAAAGTTACAGTGAGAGATTGATTCATTGTTTTCATCAGTGGATTGACATAGTTGGACACAACTCTGTAGTGTTTAAGTAGGTTCTTGCAACATATTACAAACTATTTCCTGAGCCCATGAAGGAGCTAGATTCAGAGTTTGGGAGAAGACATTATATCATCTCTTTCACAATTTCCACTAATAATGGTAGCAATATAAGCGAAAGAAGTAGAAAGGTCAAAAGAGATATTCTGTTTAATATTAGCAGGCGTGCATTTATACTTCCAATCACATACAGCAAGAATAGAACGCGTGGTTCTCTACAGTGTGGGAATCAACTGAATCAGCCATTTTTGTTTCCTAAATTCTGCAGGTTTAGACACCGCAGGAGAACATAAGTCACTCTAGATTTAGACATTTCTCTCTTTATGTACAATGTGGTTGATATCTTTTGTCAGTCCAAAACTTGTGAGAAGCTGATGCAAATATTCAAAACCTGCAAAACATAAGTATGTCCTCCCCCCGCCCCCATTTGGGGTATAACCCAGAACAGGAACAGCTGCAACAGCTGTTACTACCTTGACAACTGAACCTTTTGAGGGAAAGTAAGTGAATTTTCCCCTCAGATGTACTGTTTCCCAAACAGCAACTTTGCTGTAGTTTGTTCCTGTACACAGCTCACTTTTGATTTAATTCTGCTGATTTCAAAAGCATTTTCTGGGAAAAACGTATAAATGAGAAGAACTACTTGAGAAGATCATTCCTCAGTTATCAGGGACTCAGTTATTCAACAGATCTTGCTTTGGGCAAAAGCAGCCTTGGAGAATATCCTTCAAGCCATTTCAGCTTCTTTCCTTACACATCTAAAAGGGCATGCTTGTGTGTACGTGTGAGACTGAATGGATTGCCCTGAGATACTGTGAATATGGAGAAATTACTCAATGAATACTAAAAGGGGAGGCTCCATGGAACGAGTAACTAACTTTGGTGATAAGTAACCTGCCGTGCAGCTTATATCAAAGGTATACTTCAACTGTACATCAGCTTTTGGGAGATGCTGACACTAGAAGAACACCAACAAGACAAGATTTTCAGGCTCCAATTATATTTAAGTCTCTTATAGATTCATGCATACTGTATATTATGGTGAGCCTTTTGGACAGTATGTCTTCTTTCCTCTGCTGGCAGTTCTCCTAATTAGGATTCTTGCATTGTCATCTATACAACAAAAGGGAGATAAAACAGCTTGCGGAAGAAGTTTTAAGGAAATTCATTAAAACAAAACAAACAATAATTTAGCAAGTACAGAAAGCTGGTTTTCATGGGGAAGGAGGTAACAGATGGAATGAATTGCTGGGATCCATGCCCAGGGGAGCCACCATATTACAAGATTTGGTTTGGGGCTCCATATCTCATTTAATTATCGAGGTAAAGCAGGTGCAGAATTCAGCAACGTCTTTTTAGTGATTATGAAAGGACAGAAAGTCCCAGTTGGGACAACATACATACACATCAAATATAGTAAAATTAAAACCATTTCAGAGAACTATAATATAGGGCAGGATTGTTTCGAGAGTAGTTAATGACACTTGTGTAAGTCTGTGGCTTTTGTGCCAGGCTAAAACAGGTTCAACAAAACGTTGCTCCAGATCCATATCTATGTCCAGCACAATTATTCACTTGCTAAAGAAATTCCAGCAGTGCCCTACATTTTGTGAATGGAGAATCCCCTTGTATATTAAGCACTAGCTTAACAATGAATGGGCATAGTTAAGAGTTCTTGAAATATTGTTGAACTGCTCTGAGCACATATGACTCTTTGGGGTCTTAAAGACAAAATATTGCTCTTTAAATTATTCTTATTATTACACATCAATTTATTAGAGGTTAAAGCAGGTAGAAACCATGTCTAAGGATGAGGAAGAATTCATTTAGTATGGCACAGCTTTCACATAAGTAAGTAACCAACATGTTATCAAGGCTTGTAAAATAAATTAACATGTTTATCTGAACCCCATGCAAATTAGTTGTCCTTTTTGTATTGCTCAAGTGTCCTTGACATGAGCTTCCTATTATAGACAATATTTAGTAGTGCATATTGGATGTTTGACAGATGATCAGAACTTCTCTCTCCAAGTACTAATGTATTATTTGTCCAACATCTTTGCATTAATACCCATTTTCTTGAGATTTGCATATGTTAAATCATACTCCCAGTGCCTGAAATATCCAACAATATTTCTGATACTTTCCAGAGATCACCCTATATAATCTATATAATCACTCTATATAAAAACTAAATAAGGAATTTATACTCCCAACACCTCTCATTTTATAGCCTCTCCTAGCTCTGTTATCCTAATTTTGGGGCAGAGTTAGGATAAGAAATGTAAATTAGTTTCTGTTATACTACCCATTTGTTTCTTCTTCTCAAAACCCCTTTTTTTTTCCATTGACCTGAAATGAAATGCTTTTTCCCTGAAGATTTTCTATACTTAATTCACCTTCTTATCTAGGCTTGTGTAGGTGGTGTTTTCTCTGTCATAACACCCCAAATTTCCTTTTTCTCAGTCTCAGCAAGCTGAATCATTGAGACATAAGATGCCTTACGCTACAATCAGATTGCTTCTCTTACCTGTTTCAAGGGTGGTGTGGTTGAGATCAGTTTATACTGCCCTGTTTACACAAATAATATACATTGTCAGGCACAAGTGATTTAAAAGAACTACTTTCACATGATTGAAGCAATAGATAGATAGATAGATAGATAGATAGATAGATAGATAGATAGATAGATAGATAGCACCAGCAAGTCAGGGCTGTAATTCAGTTGCAAAACAAGAAAAACAATAAAATGTTTTTCAAAATATTCAACAATTTTTTAAAAAATCTTCTTAAAATGTATATCTACATATACTATTTTGCTAATTATTTACTGGGGGTTTTTTAGTGCCTACCTGCAAGACTCTATATGGTCTACTTTCCCAGTCTTTACAGACCAGAACTCATTTTCTCGGTTTCTATTTTTCTTGTATTTTGCTTTTATTTGTTGTATGATATTGGTTCTATAAAAGTGTTGTGCCCCACCCAAAGTTGTGGTTCTAAGATAGGCATGCAGTGGTCAAAATTATTGCCTCTCATTGCTGGAATGAAGACAAAAAGGAATAGAAATGTTTTTGGGTCTGGTCCTTAAGTCTATTTCCCTGAGATGTTAAGTGCCCACAGAAATTTTGTTTCCAAAGCTTAATTGGGGTGTGAAAAATGATTTCCAGAGATATTGCAGCTAGAGAGAAAATAGCTAAACTCTCACACATACAGTACAGCAATTCCTTCTGAATCAACCACCCTTTTGGTGTTTCAATTAAACGTAGGAGGAAAATTTGACTCCATTCAATCTAGAATGGAATGAAAATTAAACAACTTAGATATTTTAACACTCACATGATACATGTGGATTTACCTTCTGCACGTTTAAGTATACCCTGATAATGTATACAAATAAGAGGAATAATTAATGTGTATGTTTTATGCAGGAATGCGATGCATTCTCTGACTATTTTGGTGGCTTAATCATTCTCCTGAGGAGGAATAAATTTTGATGTGGTAGAATCACACGCTACAGTTTTAGTGCTTATAGAAACAAATTCCTAGGATGATCCAACTGGATTAATTTTCAAAGTATGATTTTTGTACTGGCATTAGATATATAAGAATAGGATAAATCTATCAAACCAGAAGCCTGCTCACAATGGGTGGGGAGGAGTTAAAAAGACCCCCAAAACCAGATATTTGCTTCATCTTGAACACGTAAATAAAAACACAGATCGTCTCAAAAGAATAAAATTGGAAATATGGGAAAGTAAGCAGCTGGAGCAACAGAGAATACACTTTTTCCAGGAATTATATTGCCTCCATTCATCTTGCTCCAGGAGTTCATATCCAGTTGGAAGTAGTTCACACCCACCCCCGTTGGGTCACTGTGTTCCTGGGATTACATTTTCCTCCACGCTGTGCCTTGTTACTGACACGCCCATCTCTGAAGAAAGAGGAAAAAGGCTCCTAAAATCAGGAGGCAGGAATGAGGGTGTGCTAGCTTTGAAGAACAGGCCTTTCACATGTTCTGTGTTTGCTGGAAACCTGCAAAGGGTGGGCATAATGGGCTACCATAACAAAATTTACCATAACAGCTCAGTATTGGTGACCTGCTTTCTCACTTTGTCTTTAATAAATAAGTCAGGTGAACAAGCAGCTCGTGATTATAATGTGGGTGTCATATGTCTTGCTCTACAAAGAACTGAATGTTTGGACTATCCATAATTTGCTAGGTTAGAACATAATTTGCATGGTCCACACCCTCCTTTCATCTCCCCATTTAAAAAAAAGAACTGAGTTGCACATCTGAAGCACATTTAGGCCTAATTAATTTAAATTCCATATAGATCACCAGAACTGAGATAAGTCAACCAAATAGAATATACACAATATTCACAGGAGGGAGAGGATTTTCCTTTTCCCCTTGCCAAACTGCATATTTGAAGCATATCTTATAATACCTAAGTAGATAATAAATATGAATAATAACAGGACGAAGATCTAAAATCATTTGAAATCATTATCAGAGAAATTCCACATTGTTTTAAACTGATATTTTTCTGGAGAATGGCTAACCAATAAGTCGGCTTTATTCTTAGTACTCATCTGAACATTTTTCAATGGCTAATTTAAATGACTATTGATTTCCTTTTATTTGTATTACTATATTATATAATAATAATTTTTAAAATGTTACCTATGGCGTCCCCCCCACCAGAATGTGGTTCAGCCATACAACGAATTAACTAGTAAGAATACAAACATGTGATCTTAGCCAAAAGGTCAAGAAGTGTCCAATCAAATTTCCTTAGGGCCATTACTGCTACTACTGAACAAGTACAGAGACACCGGGCAACTAACCTGTGAGAAAAAAAAATCAATATGTACTGACTTTCACTTGAATTTCTAAGCCACATGGGCTTCAAGGATGCTGTGAACATAGTCAGTTCAAGGATAGCTGATACAGAATCGCAGAAAGATGGTATTGCAAGCTCCAGATTCTTACCTCATGTTAATAGAAGGCCCTCCTAAAGCTTCTGCTAAGTGCCTGGGTATTTTAACTTTCTATAAACAGAGATGGGTTTTCTCTAGGGCACACAGTAATTCCTTTCCTTCTTCAGTACCAGAGGACAAATAGCACAAGACCCCTTCTTCTGAAAGAGTCTGCCCTTGTGGAGAAGGAGAAACAGAATCTATTCTTCTTGGCTGCCCTCTTTATGAATAAGCCAGAGGATTACTCTACTCCAATATTTCTCAACCTTGGTGACTTGAAGATGCGTGGACTTCAACTCCCAGAATTCCCCAACCGGCATGCCGGCTGGGGAATTTTGGGAGTTGAAGTCCACACATATTCAAGTTGCCAAGGTTGAAAAACACTGCTCTACTCATTAAGAGACTAGAAGGTAAACCCATTAAATCCTATCTCCATTTTCTACCAAAGGATAGCAATGTTGATGTTGCAGCTCAGGTGGTGAGATTTTGCTCAGGGGGAGGGGGCTATCTGAAAATTGTAAGACCATTATACACTATAGATAGCAGTAGGTCCACATAGCTAAAATGTTTATGCATTTACTATTCGTAAGTGGCATAGCTCATCATAACGCTTAACTTTTTAGATTAACTTTAGTTTTTATAGATCTTAGACTAACTTTATATGTTATATGCTACCTATATTGGTTCTAGTGTTTTATATTTTCTGATATTTATGTATTGTACTGGTCAATGACCAAAATAAACAAACAAAACCCAAGTAAAAATGGTTAAAATTACACAAAAACAATAAAAGCAATTTACATTATGATATATTTATCATAAATAACAGTTGTATAACTATAATATCCTAAGCCCATGAACTGATCGCCGTGGCAACTAACTTTACTAATAAGGTATACAATATCTACCATCTAACTTTATTAACTTCCATCATCCACTCACAACTGCTTCCATCAATCAATCTGCTTTATTAAATCAGTTAAGTGTCCAAATCTTTCTCAAATGCACTCAAGGAAATGGAGCTGGATAAGGAGGGAAGAACATTCCATAACTGTGGATCCAGGTTCTGAAATGCACACAAATGGGTTGGAGCAACATAAATGTGTAATCCTGACAACTGTGCTAAGCCAATCAATAAGTCTGAACAAGCCTTCTTCAACCTGGTGTTCTCTACAATGTTAGACTCCCATCATCACCCTCAGCCCTTATGCTATTCACTCTGCTGGCTAGGATGATGGGATTCTAGTCCCATAAATTGAGATGGTACAACCTTGGGAAAAGCAGGCATGCAAACAATCACTCAGAGACCTGCATTTAAAAAAAAAAATTTCTAATAATGTTCTGGACTTGAATTGCTTTACTTTAAGAGGAAGATGTATTACAGTTTTACATGAGCTACCTCCCATGAACAATTTCTTAACAATGAATGCCTCACTGTAAAAGAATTTCTTAACAATGAATGATCACTTATCCATCGATTGGATAATTGATTCTATTGTTTTTATTCAATTTTGTTATGGCATGATATGCAATCTCTGTACAATTTCAACTTCAGCAAACTTCATTCCTTCAGTATAGCTCTGCCTGTATACCACAGTGACCAGTGTTCAGTCTAGTCACTCTTGCTGCCTATATAGCTACTACATAAAACTGTAACTAATAAAGAACCAAGTAACAATGATGAAGCTATGGGTACAATTTAATAGGGCCTTATTATAGCTACTCTAAGGCTTTAAGGTACTATTATGTACCTTTGTATTTATATCTTGCTCGTTCCAGCAATGAACAACACCTAACTGCCTTCTCCAAGGGTGCTTTGCCTGATGATGTGGCTAAGATATCACTAACCCTAAACCTGCAATCTTTACAGCTGTATGGGGACTTGGCCATCTAACCACATCCTAACCCAGGTCTCTAACCACTGAACCACCTAGGAAATGATCATTGCCTCATCTCACCTTACATGAAATGTCTTGTCTCTTTTAATCAAAGAGGAGGAAAACAAGATATACTTGGTGGCAAATACTAAGATGGTGCCAAATACTTAAAAATATCTTGCATTCCACAGTTACTAGAAGTATTTTTCCAAACACCAGCACCTAACATTTTAATAACCCCAGCAACTGCAACTTCTCGGCATTAATTACCCTTGAAAATCTTTTAGCAATAAGAATTTTTCTTGCACAGCAAGAGAATTTCTTATCTGCATAACTCTTATAGTATTCTTTCTGACCTCAGATACAAATATGCAGAGAGATGATACAAAATAACCCCTCCCAGCTGTTACTTCATACTTTCTGGCTGCAAGCTACCTGAATAACTTCCACTGGGCTCAGCATCTTTTGAATTTGTTTTGATTTTTTTTTTTTTAAGTAGACCAACTCCTTTAAAAGTCTTTGGATTTTTGGAAGTGGTGTTGAACTTCCATTACCATAATTCTCAGTCAGTTGGCTTGGAATCAAGGGTATCCACAGGATGAGGTCAAAAAATCAAAGATGGGGGCCACAATGGTGTGACCAACTTAAATAACAAGTGGAACTTTAATCCCATTGTCATGGCTACCATCTTGACTTTTTTTGACCATACCATGTGGACACCTCTCCTTGGAATGTTGGGGGCTGGAATTCAGTATGTCTGAAGGTCACCATGTTGGGTAAAATTGTCCTCCACTTTTAACTAGGATTTAAGAACAAGCGGGCAAAGGAGTTTTTTGTTTTGTTTTTGCTTTTAAATGACTGACTTGTGTGTACACAACTTTCTCAACGGAACCATCACTTACTGTAACCCAGTTTACAGGGCTTGCATGACACACTGAACTACAAATTAGCCACATGAGCTACATTCACTGAACATGATTATTCTACTTACCTTCTATGCATGAAGCTGTTGTTAAAATTTTAACTCATTAAACACACTCAGCTCCTGTAATCTTCCAATATTAGAAGATTTAAAGTCTTCATGATCACTTCATTCAAATTAACGGCTAATCTGTTAATTCAAACAACCTGGAGTTTTAGCAGAGCAATTCAGCTAATTCAAGTGTCTCCAGATTAGAATAGCCTATAAACTGAAGAATATAAAATAAAATAAAATATAATAAAATTCCTATATGCCAGTTCATGAATAGTTGCTTTTCTCAGTGGCTGAATCGCTCACTTGCTCCAATAGAAAAGAAATTTTTAATTGTATCAATATGAAAGAAGCAGAGTTTGTGAAAAATCAGAGGTGTTAAAATACCTAAATCAGGGCAATTTATTGTCCTGTTGCAACTAAATAAAAAGGTACAGAATGGCATACAGAATATGAACTAAATACAGAATATTAAATTGAGTTCCTCCGTATTGAGGATTATATAAATTAGGGTTGCAATTTTTGTAAAAATAATTAGAATCTTTGATAATTGAACTACCACATCATAAAATATGGAGTGAATATATTTACTGAATGGATTTATGGGTAGTTAATGAAGTGGATAATTACATGTTCTTCTCCAAAGAAAGAATATTTATAGAATACATTACTTCATATTATATATCTATGAAACACACAGAGCCTTGCTATAAAGATGATAACCTCGAACAAGGGATGCTGGACTAGGAGTGACTTTAATTAAATACCTACAGCAAAATCCCGTAAGACTTCAGGAAGGTCAGGAGCAAGGAAGTGGATTTTTTTCTGGCCAACAGTACTTTGACTGGTATGACAGAGGTCACATCCCCCAAAACAGTCAGAGCCAGACTTTTTAATCTAATTGTTTGCATGTATCATTATTCACTCAGTCACATTATACATTACAATTCAGGAAGAACTTTTGGGGAAGCTCAAGAAAAGATCTCTGGTCTTGGAGACAACTGTTGGAGAAGACTAGCTTAGCAAGATGGTTGAATCTTCTCATTGTTCCAATATTCTTCTTAAAATTTTGGCCAGCTACCTCAAATCGTTTACAAAGTGGCTGAATACGTTCAGAATGGGTCTGCTAATTATAAGTTGTCATATAGCAGAATTCAAGATGGCCCAACTTTTCCAGCTTTTTAAAATCTGTCACGTTGTAGGTATAATAGAAAAGTAGCAGGGGGAAAGATAATACTTAACTTTAAAATAAATGTAAATAAATGTAAAATTAAAGGATTAAAGACCTGGCTCTGCCAGCTTGCATGGGGTAATAACAATCTTACCCAATGCTGG